TTTTTTTTGCTTGAAAAGACGTGAACTTAGTTGGCATCTCATAAATATTGTTTTGCGGACCAACGTCACATTTTCCATTCTGCGCGAATCGTGTTGAATGCTGTACAGGCCAAGAAATGATAGCTACTCCTCAAAATCTGAGTGCTGTATGGTTGTCATCGGCTAGCGAAGGTGCTTTGATTAATTAATTTGTAGAACAAACTGCTGATTGATCATATTGAGCTAATCCATTACCTTACATAAGTAGTTTTAATTGCAACCGTATGATATCAGCTTGAATGGGTAAATTAAACTTCTTTTTAAGACAGTGTTAATATTATTTCTTTTTTGGAACAGGCGCGACTGGATGCAAGAAGTTTGTCTCAAAGGATGTGACATTCTGAGAAACTAAACGTTTTAAAATTAGTACAAAGACTGAATACGTTTAGTTGGGTATCTATTTCGGAGTTAAAAGATCCTATAGAAATTAAGAACTAAAATCAAAGAAAAAAAAATTAAATTGGGGGGGAATGTAACTGTAGTCGCGACCCAACTCTGCAATTTTTTGTGTTGTATAAGGCAAAATGAACACATCGAATACCATTCACTCGATTACCGACAACTATCCAGTTTATTTGACGATGATAACATCCAAGACTGTGTCACTTGCAGCTTTGGCACATATCCAGAGAGTACCACACACAAGCGGAACTGGGTCCATAGTGAATGCATTACCTGCTGTTCATGTAGACCATAATGGGAGGACGAGGCATTCACGCATATTGGCACGCCACGCGCACGCGAGAACGTATGCGACTGCATTCAGGACATTCCAGTTGCTGAAAAAATTATTTTAGTAGATACTAACTGGCATTCCCGGCTTCGATCGGCTTTTTTATATTTTCTGCACTGTTTTTTTGCATGTGACTAATCTATCTCATCTAATTCTGCGTAAACGGCTCATATGGGTGAAGGCATAAATAGCGCTTAAAAATAGGGTATGTACTATGTGATTGTTAGAAAGAATGCAGAAAGGAGCAGCTATCTTGATAAGATTGAATAATTGGCATTCGGCGTAATGTGATAAATAAAATCCAGTTTTGAAACCTCAGAAGAAACAGAAACGGAAAGGAAAGAAATGA